AGAGGGTACTTCCTCAGGACGAGAGATGCCTCCAACACGACAACACTCAGAATTCGGCGTTCGTCTTCCAGGAAGGCGCCATATCCCAGTCCTCGCTCCAGTTCAACTGCGAGCGACGACGCGATAGATATGGTACTGGTTCCAGGTACGTCTTAGTTTCGTATGATATCTGTATCCAAACAAGTGCGTAGCCCTCGTGAAGGAAAAGGATGGTCTGTTGGTCCTTCAAGTGGCTACTCCTGGGACTTGACGTTTTGTAGCTCTCCAGACAAAAGTTGCGGATACCCAGGCTGTCGTCTTTGGTACGTATCTATCGTGTTGCTACTATTTCATACCTAACATAAACAGCTCGCGACGAAACTATCCAAGATCTGGCTGAAAAGCTTCAACGTGCGCAGACCCGTGGGTTAATCGATTAACATGTATTGCGTTATTCTAACATCCTTCTAGAAATTAAACGAAACCTCGCTGAACTGGAATGTGCGCTCTTCCATCCCACATTTTTGCTCCCAATACCCACGCGATTATACAGCATTCCGACGACAAGGCGTCGAATTGGAAGGCACGTAATTTTCCCGTTGTTAGCTACCAATCTCAGGACGTATACAGGAACGAAACGAAAACTGTCAGAGCAAGAGGCGTTAACGCGGTGTCTTGGCTGTACGTACAGTACACCTTTTCCTTTCAATCGCCCGCTGACTGTGCTCTTCGCAGCGGACAAAGTGAGGTTGGAAGGAGAAGTGGCCGAGTTGCAGGATAAAGTGTCCGGTAAGCTTCCCCCTCGAATAAATCTCCGTCTTTACGCCGACTCCGTACGTAGATTTTGAAATCGAGAACATGGGCGGCGCTGAACTATTCCGGGATTTGAATGCTCAAGTTGGTATGTTTATTCGAGTGCTTCGTTATCAAGGGCACTGGGGCCTGATATTCACCAGATCCAGATGTGCACCAGCAGCTTCAGATCGAATTGCGCGAGCTGCAGATTCGGTACGATGAGGCGCATCAAGATAAGGCGGTTGTGGAAGCGCGTGCGGCTACTCTACAGCTGCAGTACGACACCTTGAAAGAGGTTCTCTGTTCACGCAATGCTGGCGGAAGAGGAGACGACCGACGGCATACATCAACAAGTACTAGCACAGGTATGTCCACGTTCACTTTTGAATAAGTTTCTCATGTACATCTTTTCATGTAGATGGCGCGGAAACAGCACGAGTCTCCGAACAGCTCAAGCGCACCGTTGACAAACTAGCTGTGTCCAAGCGTAAGCTTGACGGGGCGCGCAAACACGCGGCGTCAGTGCGCGCAGCGTACCAGCGCAAGTTCGTATTAGAGCATGTCGCTGTTGTGCACCTCTATGAAAACCTCCTAACGGCCTTGGAGTCGTCTTCGGCGGAGCATTTGAGAAAGGAGGTGAAGACGCATGTGAAGGAACTGAAGAAGCTGAAGGGGAGGTTGAAGGAGGAGACGCCGGCAAGTGTAGATGTAATCATGGGAATGATCATGAAGCGGGTGGAGGAGGAAAATGTTGGACTGCTGCTTGATGAGGACAATCAAGATACCAATCAAGATGGGCTTGGTGGAGACGATGGTTTGGATCAGGATGATGATCAGGAGGAGGATACCAGGCCAAGGAAGAGACCCAGACAACGCTCTCGCTCACACTCTCGTGACGACTCTGAGCTCCCGCCCTGCGCACATATTCCATCACGCCGCGCTTCGCCAGCATCCCTCACCCCCACTCTCCACGAAATGCCTCAGCATCCTGTTCCCTCTGATCCTGTTCAACCGGCGTCATGTCCTGCCGTCACCTCGCCTCCCACTGCCGGGCCAACCCCAAAGCGTCAGGCGCCCGCACGAACCTCAAGAACGCGCTCAGAGGCCGTCAAAGCTGCCGAGCGACGATATGAGGCCACACACCGCGAGAACCGCAATGCAGCCCAAAGAGCTCGCAGGTAAGCGTGTCTCTCTACTCACATTTCTCATCGCATTACAACGAACAGGGCCAAAACAGCATCCACGGAAGAGTCACGCAAAAAGGCAGCAGACCGCAAACGGCGACAACGCGCCCGGGAGAAGCAGGCGAACGCAACGCCGGGCGATACGGGTTAGCCTATCCAACATCTCATATATCCCTTCTTTCTTTGCTCCTTCTCTGTACCTTCCCTTGTTCTGCTATGCTTTCTTCCTCATGCCCAATTTATTTGGTTCCCATTCTGTTTTCGTATCCGAACTACTATATACTTATGTGTTACATTTGGTCTCTAATCAATGTTCAATCCTCTGTCAGTATTCAAGATATCGCCTGTTTAACCTGGACCAACAAATTATTCAAGCCTTCATACTTCAAACTAGGTCGATAATGGCCGTAACACTCACCACCTATCCGATGCCTACAAAAGGAGAAGTCAGCTCGACGTATATGCCAGAATCATAGAAAGAAAGTACTAACGCGGAATCAAGATGATGTTCATCAAAAGGCTGCTCGATATTACAGTGGACGCAGACGAACGTCGGAGCTGACGACCCCGCAGTCGGACCCGTTTCCAATAAGGATTTCTCCTTCGCACGGCCCAACGCGATAAGCTCAGCGTCCTTCACCCTCGTCACCTTCTCCAGAAAATCGTGATTCTAACCCAACTCATCAAAAATCTGTTAACAAAGACACAGTGAAAGCGTACCATAGCCGTACGCCACCGCATCAAACGGATCTTCCTGAACACCCTCTTGGGCGGGTCACATCCCTCCCTCATCAGCAGAGCAGACAGCGCCTCGATCGAGTCGCATTTCTCACACCGAAAAAACACATCAGCAGCGTCCATATACTCAGCAGTCGCCGTATCCGGATCGAGCCCACACATCCGTATGACCTTCACGCACTTCCGGTAATCAACCAGATCCAGTGCCTTCACGTTCTCAGCGCTCCAAACCTCCGTACTGACTTCCCCCGTCTTCAAACCAAAGGAGGCCCTGGAATAGAAGCAGCGGTGCGAGGCAAAGTACGGGTAATGCAGGATAGGCGGTGAGTAGCTGCACTGGGCGCAGGTGAAGGCGTTGACGGCCAAGGAGACGTCGTCGTTGCGCCCCTGCTTTCGGAGGATCTTTTTCAGACGCTCTTCTTGGTCCTGTCTCCAATCCTCGCATATATCCGGGAGGGACAGGTTGAGCGCCTTCTTCAACTTGGCCGTGACGTCTTTCTCGATTGGCGTGTCGTTGATAATATCGAAGAAGGGCTGGTATAGACAAACCGCTGAGCCAGGGGGGTTGGGCGGGCTTTCGGGCGACTCGCTTAGCCGGGAATCCGCGAGTTCTTCGAGAAGACAGATGCGCTGGCGGATGACCTGTTTCTTCTTTTCCTCGAGTACTTCTGCGCGGCGCTGAGACATGAATTCTGCGACACCACGTCGAACGATCTCCCACGCTGAGAACATCGGTAAGGATAAGAGCAAGTACAAGAGGGTGATGGGAAGAAGCATACTTTTGTCAGTCAGCTCTTTAGACTGATTCACAAGCGGCTGTTTTCGGAGGCCGGATCGAGTTGAATCGAGTTTCAATTCATCTTCCCAACCCTCTGCTTCCAAGCGAGCAATGATACTACAGAAAATGTGAGTATCATGCGCAGGGAATTGGGTATAAACGAATACTACCATTCGAATCGTTGATGGCGAATCGAGGCCAGCTCTCTTGTGCGTGCCTCAGTCCTCAATGTAAGCCATGTGTTGTACTCCACGCAGGACTTCGCAAGCTGAGGTTGAGTATACGCGCATTTATCTAGGCAACAGTAAAGCCTCACCTGAACGAGAGCCTTGTACTCCTGCTTCTTCTTAAAAATCCAGGCTGCAAAATCAGCCGGCGTTCCACGTTGGATCCGGAGTGTCCTATACTCTTCGAGAAGCATCCCGTATGAATCCCGATGATAACGTCCTTGAGGGATTGAACATGGAGTGATCGAAAGTAATTCTGATAGAATGCTGTACTGTCCAAACGCCTTGCAAAGTTCGCCCTCGGTTAACATGCTTCGCAAAGTCAGAGATAATCTGTCGCACAGAATGAGCTGCACGTACATCTTGCTCTTTTCCAAGCACTGTTTACAGAGCCTCATGCGTATCCTCCACTGCACGTCCTTCGTTGGCGATTTCAAGCAATTCTAAACGGGGAATAAGAGTCTGAATAGTCCCACAACGAATGCACGTACGTGACAATGAGTGTCGAAAAGGAGGTTCGCATACTGCGGCTCGGTGAAGCCTTCGATCATGGGAGGAAGACCCTCCATTCCCAGACGGGCCCTCTCCCAGACAAAGCTCGACGATTTACTCACAAGCAGGCCACGCAGAGCCTTCGTTGTGCGACTCATCCGTAGGAGGTCGAGTGGCTCCAGATACGAAAAGATCTAGGCAAACTTTAGATCTGGAAGGTCAAACAATGATGGACACGTACCTCGAGCAAAACGTCGAGAGGGGTCTCGGTAACCTGCTTCAAGATGCCACGCTGATTACGAGTCGGTGCAGGTTCATCTGAAGATTCAACCGTAACGTTGGTCATGGCGCGCTTCCGTGTTTTCCTACGAGAGTCATTTTGATCATCGTCGTCAGTCGTTGAAGACGCTGGTCTGCCGCGCTGTTTGGTTGGAGCTGCTTTTGCATTCTTCTTTGTGTTGGTGCCGGCAGAAGCCGTATTGTCTGTAGCGCCGGCAATCCGGTCGGAGCGACGAAGGAGTACTACAGGTGGCATGTTGCTAGCTTGTACGGACAATATAGTGACAATGATGATGGAGATGAAGGAAATGCTGGTCGGTAGTCTTCGTCGTGGTGGTTAAAAGTCAAGTGAATGCATTGTCTTTTCCGAGACAAAAGAAAGAGTCACCTGATCGCAAGGTCCAAGCCGAAACGTCTGATCAGGTGAATTTCTTTGTTGGCGACGTGCGGGGCACAATGTTCGCCGTGGGGTTTAGGTAAAATTAATGCTCCTCCAATACAAGTCGCATAAACTGTGGCGCAAAAAGCAGACCTCGACGTGGTTTGAACACGTGACCCCGCGATATGCTTGACTGCAGTCGCATGCTCTACCACTGAGCTACGAAGTCCATGACTGAGGATCCAATGGAGCCATTCTGATCTCTGGACTCGGGATCGCGACGCGGCCTCTCAGAATCCTCGAATTCACAGCATCTACAATGGCACGCCACCTGGAGAAAATTTCTTATTGTGATTGGTGGGTACTGATACAAATCGACGCCAGGCCAAAATTCCCAAGGCTATACTTCAGTGTGTGCTTGGGGAATGTTGCCAGGTCGAGATGTGCACCGGAGCCTGTGCCAAAGAGTCAATATGCGACATCACAGCGGGAAGAAAGACGAAGATAAGTCGCTCAGTAGGAACAATTGATTATAAAACAAATCAATGGTCATCAGGTTCAACACCCTCAAAATCTCTAAACTCGTCTTCGCGACGAAGGGGTAGAGGAAAAGAAACACTCACCAATAATTATGATGACACACAACGGGAGCTCGAAGGCATCATACACGCAGCCGAACGTTCGATATGGATGCGTATAACTGTGAAGAATGATGGTTAGCACTTCGTCGCCGGAACAGCGGAAAGAGGGAGATCAGAAAATAATTTTGGTAAGCAGTGTGTCCACAAGAGGATGATTAGCTCTCGTTCGGAAGCAGAACTGATTGGGTCATCACAAGACGGTGAAGGAATTTCGCTTACCAGTGTAGCAGATGAGCGGCGGCTACTGGAAGCGCGATGGTCGTAACAGTACCGTGAGGCGGCTCGAAAGTTCAATGGGGCGTATTCCTGCGAGGCTAGGTTGCTGCCCGTGACGGGTAGTGCGAAAACGCGATTTTGACGCTTCGTGCGCGGGATTGTAGACACTGACCACAAGGACCTGCGGCGAGGTATACCGTCGACGAACACAAGTGCCGTCTGCAAATCGTAAGCCACAAACAGACACGGTAGCCGTTGTCCACTCACCACAACATGGCCATATGCTTTTTTTATTGCCCTTTTCGCCCAAAACTTTGCGGATGCCGGTCACCGTCCTTGGAGCTTTGTCGGTCCTTTAGAGCGCAAATACGTAGCAGAATCCATATGGCGCGATTTACGAGGGTAGTGGCCCGGTGAGCGACAACGAAGGACATGGTGGGAAGGGAGGAAAACAGCGTCGAGTCCACCCATTTCCTTTTTGGTCCTCCTTTCCCACGCTGCATTTTGTGAATGGGTCCACTACTTACTGGCAGCTGGCTTTTCTTGAACTCTTATAGTCCTTGACATAACGATATTTCTGATCTTCTGTCCACAATACAATACAACAGCACATCAGTGTATTCTTATAATACCTGTGTCTGTATAGGCCAATATCGTCGTCGTTTCTTCTGTCAAACAAAGTTCGCGAGTCCGTCTTTAGGTATCGCCTGCCAAACCTCGACCATCAGGCGAGTAGAAATAACTGATTATAAAATCAATTTAATGGTCTTCAGGCGTGAAATCTCTTGTTCGCAAGCCTGTCTTGACGAGGGAGGAGGCGAAGATGTTTACTTACCGACAGTCACCGCAACGAAATCCAGCATATGGGATGCCCGCGTATTGACGAGGTTAAGACAAAGAGACACAATCTGCAGGAAATCCCTGTAGTACGTGTCCACAACAGGTTAATTAGCTCTCGTTCTAAAGCAGAAACTGAACCCAGTGAGCATCTGAGGCGCGTCTCAGGAATGGGCCTTACCGATTGCCAGGGCAGACGTCCAAATGCACGGTCGTGGGCCGTTGCATGGGACAAAGGCCATAGCGATAGCTCCTCGTGAGCATGGAGAGAGTCGTGCAGCTTGATGGAAGGTGCGCCATATTGTCATTGAACGTCGTTAATGACCGCCATAGTATTAGTTAGAGTAGGACTGTAAACAATCAGCACTAAAGCAAGAGGATACGGAGTGCTCTACACTCACCCACTGCGCGGTGATCAGACAGGGAAATCACGACTGATTCGTTTCTTCGTTTCTTCCTTCCCAGAAACCTCACAGAGCTTTTTTCGGGTGTTGCAACGCGACCACCAGGTGTAGGTATAGTGAGCGACGAAGTTTACAGGATAGGTCGAGCCGGTCTGCGACGCTGCCAGCGATGGCTAGCACAAGAAGGCTGGACCTCTTAACGGAAGGGTGAAAGAGGTGATGCCGCCGGCATTAAACCTTCCTGCTCCTTTTGATAGACATTCTCACGGTCTGCGCCTCCCTCAAGGCTGTTCATCTCACCTTGTCTCACTCTCATTGTAAGTACCGGAGGTGTAGCGAATGCTAAGCAGCATCTACACGACATAACGGTCAATTCAAAACTTTACCAAGCTACATTTATCATGGTGGATGGCTACTGGTTCCAGCACCAGCCGTTTCTCGAGCAGTCTGGCTATATTCTTCGCTCCAAGTTCCGACCTGACTCTCAATGGCTCAAGCTGTCAGAGAAGGAAAGGAGACGCCATCCAGACAGTTTTGTCCATCCCGTTGCGTATCATCTTTTCATTTCAAAGTAGACCCGCCACTGAGCGATTGAAACGTAGAACCCATTCATCATGGATGCGACTAGAGCTCACGACGGAAAACCCGTTATGCTGAAATGGCTTTCCAACGAGCGATCTCCCAAAGAGCTCGACCTCTCTTTTTCTCTGCCCCAGAGCGAAAGGACGACCCACAAAACCACTGCGTGCCAGTCTGGGATGTCTTGCAATCTCCATTCGACCAAGAGTCGCAAATAATCGTTATGCCTCGGCTATATCCTATTGATCAGCCGAAATTCGATACCGTTGGGGAAGCAATCGATGCAATTCGCCAGACATTCGAGGTACGTAGCGTCCTCTTTACTTGAGCTGTGTCTAATATCCTGATAGGGCCTCGAGTACATGCATCGGCATCACGTTGCTCACAAGTAGGCCATGGAACTGTACAGGTTTACCGTTACTCATCCCGTGCAGAGACATTTCAATACTGAACATCATGATGGACGCACGAGATCTATACCCTCATGGCCATCATCCTGTTCATGTGTGGGCTACCCTAGCCACACTCGCATTGCCAAACATCTCACCCGTACACACTTCTGGCCTCGGTACCACATCATCGACTTCGACAGGTCGAAACGGTTTGACAGTGACTCCATCCCCGCGTCCTTGACAATTCCAGCGCGGCCAGGGACGATCCACTACTATCCTGAGAATCGCCACAATCGCCGTGGCTTCTTCAACCCCTTCCCAGCTGACGTCTACGCATTGGCATCCGTTCTGACGGACCCGGACGACTTGGCGCTGGTAAGTCCGAACTTACCATGTTGTTCAGCACCTCATATTGATGTATCCGCAGAGCTGCTATCCTCCTCTGCGTTTTCTGCGCCCTCTATGGGATCAGATGTTACAGAAGAATCCAGAGTTACGTCCTACTATGGGCGAAGCCCTCGAGCAGTTATACCTTCTATGCACTCCGCTTCCGAGCAGTTATCATCTCCGACTACCGCTCTATTACAGGTACATACCTCAGCGCTGCAGACAAATTGCCCATATTCTTAGTGGGCGACGGGCACTGCCTTACAATAAGTTTCCGCTCGTGGTGACCCGGGTTGATTCGAAGGACTGCGAATTTCTAACGGCGAAGCCGCCTGATACAGAATCAGAGGTTTTGGAAGTCCAGTAATCGGCGTGTATCATGTCTGAAATAAAATATAAATAAATATTTTCTTATCTGCTCAAGGAAGGAAGGCTCTGTAAACACTTTCTAGCATATACAGCCTGAGCTCTGAACACTGCGAAGATCTTCAGATTGGCCCGCGACAAATACGCGACCTATTGGGGATTCATCGTTCAGTATCATCGTCGTCGGCAAGGCAAAAGAAAACAGGGTCAGAAAAATATTTTCGGTAAGCAAGTGTCGGGTGCATCGGTAGGAGGATCCAGTCGCGCGGTCTACACGATGAGGATACTCCTTTAGAAAAGTGAAGGTGATACGCCTGAAGACGAATACTGTCGATGATTGACCCCACGGTCCATGCAGGCCAATAGTGCAGAACCGCTTCTTCACAGTGAGTTCATGCTGTGCTGACTGTTAGTCAAAATTATCGCGTGAGAAGGAGGCTTAATCTGACCTTTTCAAGTCTAACTTTGTTCTGCGCCAAGGTTGTAACAACGCGCGTAATTCTGGGAAAAGTAAAATGAGCAGGATGCGTTGTAAGAAGATAACGAGAAACGTACTCGTCCTGTAAGCTCTCCTTCGGATCATCAATCCCAGCACCAAAGCGTAATTTATGGTCGGTGCACAAGCATATGAGACGAGTCATAGCATCCAAAGATTCCTCATCACAAGGCGTTTGCTCTTGCTCCGTTACTAATACTCCAAAAATCTGAACCGTCGGAAAGACGTGTCGAGGCTATCACGCGTAACCTAGACGCAGCTGCAGAAGAAGAAAACAGCGGTATTCATGGGTGTGTCCCGCAGTGGGGCCAACGACGTCGAGCACGATGAGGAGGGTGTCATGGACGCAGGAGGAAAGACCCGCGGGGCCGCCTATTCTATTTCGGGTGTCTCTTCCCACGCTGCATCTTGTTAATGGCCTGTCACCGTCAGCTTGTCTGTTTAGCCTGCCATACTTTGTCCAGTCATCTCCCTCTGCGCACGCTGATGAAATTTGCGACAATTACAAGAGAGCTTAGCATTTCCTCTACGGCCCGATCAACCGCCTCCGCCTCTTCCCTTTTGACCGGTCATATATGCCGTGCTGTCCTGGCGCTACGTCTTCGTGCATCCTTGACGTTGTTCTACTTGTGGACCGCCTTGAGCTACTTCCCTTGAATACGAAGTAACACGAATGTCACAATCTGGCATATTATGGGCGTCAGCGCTGGTTCCCCTAACCTAGCAGCGGCGAGAAGCGTACGTTTCCGACTCTGGGGGACTTATGTTGTAGGATGGCACAAGCTGCTATGCCCCACCGCCGATAAACGCGAAATGTGGACGTGATGCAGTTACCAAAGTTGTCGAACAATGGCACACCATGGGCCACACTACAGTGCGGCATCCAATTGAGGAAGCCATTGTCGACGCTG